GCTTGGGGTTGAATGGGCGTCCGCAGCCCTGGTCTGGCAAGCTGGCTCCCTCCTTAGGGGGCATCGCGGTCGGGCGTTCCTTCCAGGGCTGACCTCGCTGCCCTCGGCCGCCGGAGGGTGGCGGGCCGGCCCAGCCTCACCAGCTTCCCGGGAACCCAGGCTCGCCGGGAGCAGCCTCGCGCCTCCCGCCTGTCGTGTCTCCCGCCGCCCCCCCACCCCGGCCTGGAGTCCCCGGCTCATCCTTTTTTCTTTTCTCTGGCGTGCCTGCAAAATCCTGTCAGTGAAGGGCAGTCAATGCCGTCTGGCCCGAAGTGGTGCTGCCGGGACTGCCTCTGGTGGTATTTAACCGAAAACGGCTCCCTTGGCAGTGTGAGCGCGTCCCTCGGAGTCTGCGGCTTCTCCTTCCCTCCCTTACTCGCGGACTCAGGTTTCTGGTATGGACCCGCGGCACAATTGCGGCCACTTCTTGCTTGGACGAGGAAATGTAATCCGAATTTCCAGAAAAAGGAAAGCAACGAGGAATGGGTTGCACCTCCCCTTACTTCGGTTTGCTTTTGGATTAGAAGACAACTTCTGGATTACCTTTCCTATGGTCAGTCTTTTGTGTGATTCAGACTAAATGCTTTGCTCTTGAAGAAATAGATTAGCAATTTCTCGATTGATAGGTTCTTGAATATGAAAGTTTCCTTTCGAACTTTGCCATCGTTAGTGCTATTTAGAAAACAGAACCAACCTGAAAATTTAAATGTACTCGGACTCTGGCTAGATGCGGTTCTTTGTGCTTATCTGTTAGCATCCTTCTCTTGGCTGTTTCTGTGGTCAAAAACGTAGAGATAATAAAGACAAGTCCAATAAAAGTATAGATAATAAAGACAAATATCATACAAATGCATCTGGTAAATCTCAATTCTGTCATTGGATAGGCAGATTTACTAATCTCATTAAACGGATGAAGAGAAAGGCTCAGAGTTAATGCATGGATTATGTAGTGGACAGGATGTGAGGGCAGGAACTGGGGCCAGGAGCCAGCAGTCCAGCTGGTTTGCATGGTCCCACTCTAAACCCCCCAAATAGGAGGAATGTATTTTTGGGATACCTTTATTTTTAGATGACTAGGCTTGAGAGTGAAGTAGCTTTATTACTCTTCATAGTTGTTATGTCTGTTTGAGAAAAAATTACTTTTGTGTTTTGCTTAACAAAATTTTCATTCGTTTTCTTGAAACATTTATGTGGTTTTCATGGGAGTTGACCTATATGAAAATTTTTCAAAAATAAAAATTTTGGGTCTGGGGTTGTAGCTTAGCAGTAGAACACTTGCCTTGCACGTGTGAGGCACTGAGTTTAAACCTCTGTACCACATAAAAATAAATAACTAAAGGCATTGCATCCATCTGGAACTAAAAAAAAAAAAAAAAGAAAGAAAAATTTTCAGGAGTTTATAAAGAATTCAGGAACTTTTAAGTGATCTAAATTAAGAAATGAAGAATAGGGTGATTGGGTTAAAAATCTTTCAGACACCTGTAAGTAACCCAGTAAGGAGCCTTTCCGATGGTACATTAAAAAAAAAAAAAATTCTTTAAGAACGTATTGAGGAGCATAGTTCTTTTACAAAATTCTATTATTATTCTGCCTGAGTAAGAGAGGAAATGAACACATTTTTAATGTACTTTGGAACCCTCTGGATTGTTCAGATACTAAGCATTGTGAAATAGGGCATAAAATGAGTGGTACCAAGTTAGTTCCGTGAAATGTTTGTCCATGTTAGCATTTTTTTTTTTTCCAGTGACTGGCAATTTCCTTTTTCTTAATGTTTATCTCTAGTATTGGTAGTAGAATTCTGCATAAATTTTATCTTTTTCCTAGATGTTTAGATTGAGGCACACCCTCAAAGCTATTATGAGATTAAGAGGGAGGTGCTGGCAAATTCCTCTACTCATACTCATTTCTCCACCCCACCCCCCCTTTTGGTGATGCTGGGGATTGACCAAGAGCTGGAGCATGCTAAGTAGTGCTTTGCCACTGTGCTACCTCTGTCTCCCAGACTTATCAAATTTGCTAAATTGTGACTTTTAGAGAATTAGTTATATAAAGGTTGGGTTGTATCACTCAGATTCCACTGCTGCAGAGCTGTTCTCTTTTGAATGGTCATTTCCTCCTAAATGGCTCCACTTACAAGGTTGGGTTTCTCAAAGTCTGGGCTTCATATCTCTTCCATCTGCACTAACTTGGGAAAAATGAAGTTTTCTTTCACCTCAGCTCAGACAGCCAGAGATGGGGCTCTGGAATCAGTATTTTCAGCAAGTTTTCCATGAACTTCTGAGCAGTAAAGTTGGAGAACAACTGGTATTGTGCTTCCTGTTTACTGAGTATCCCCTAGGACCAGTTCCTGAAGTAGATAACAAGTTTTTCAAGTGGCAGAATAAGTTTTATACCCTAGGCTGCTAATAAAAAGTCTATGACCTTAAAATGAGTAATTGTACTTTCATGTATGTTTCAGAAGGGCAGAGACCAGTTCACTCTGATATGCCTGGTACCTGGAGGAACTCATTTAAATATTTGTTGAGTGAATGATTGAACTACATTGCAATGAGGCCAGTTTTTTACATTTTTACTTGTCAAATTAATTGTATCACTTAGCAGTCACTAATTTTTATAAATTAGGAGCAACAAGAACTATATACCAGTTATTTCTTTAACTTTAGTTAGTGTTGAAAGGAGATAGTCTCCTTGGCATGGAGTGTTCAAGGTGATATGCTGGGAAGAAGACTAAGCAAAATATTTATTTAGGTACTCAAAACATAAATTTAAGTTACAGTGGGGTGGTGAATCATTTATTATCATTATATTGCATTCCATTTTGTAAATCATGATAATCCCAACTTCCTACGATAAAAATTAGTTTGCAGAAAATAGGTAATTGGTGTGTTTCTAACTTTCTTTTTTTTTAAATTCTTTTTTTTAAAAGAGAGAGAGAGAGAGAGAATTTTTTTTTTAAATATTTATTTTTAGGCGGACACAACATCTTTCTTTGTATGTGGTGCTGAGAATCGAACCCGGGCCGCACGCATGCCAGGCAAGCGCGCTACCTTTTGAGCCACATCCCCAGCCTGTGTTTCCAACTTTCATACTATTAAAATATGACCTTTACACCCCTTTTTCAGAGTCTACCTTAGGATCCCATAAATAACAAGTGGTTATATAGTTGGGGTTGGAGAGTTCAGAGCACAAACTGTGGAGAATGTTGGATTTGATTACACATTCAGTGACTTTGATCAAGTCACATAACTTTTTCATGCCTCAGTTTTTTTCAGCTGAAAATGAGAGTAGTAGTAAAATTTAAATACTACTAAGCACATACATAAATTATTAAGACATATCCAGTGAATAAATGGTATTTAACATTGGTCATAAAGCATTGGGTTATATGAAAATATATAAAATTTAAAAGCTAACCCATTTAATTTTTGTACTATTGTACTTTATGGTAGTAATAGAAATTCATTGCTTTAAAATGAAATCCCTTGGGCTGGGGCTATATCTCAGTGATAGATCATTCGCCTAGCACTTTCGAGGCCCTGGGTTCGATTCTCAGTACCACATAAAAATAAATAAATAAAATGAAGGTATTGTGTCCAATTACAGCTAAAAAAAAAATATTTAAAAAAAGTGAAATCCCTTGCTGATTTCTAGGTACTAGACAGTAAAAAATTGGATTACTTAACAAGACATTAAATTCATTACCTCAGTATGTGTCTCATCTGATTTTTTTTTTTGTATATTCATGTGGCTATTCATACACAACTTTTAGTAACCTATGGTTGTTTTCTAACCTGGCTTTATTTTTATAACATCTTACAAATGTCTTTTTATATCTATGTTGTTAGTTACACAGTTTTAATAACTTAATAATATTCCATTTTATGGATCTATAAGAATTTAACAAATTTATTTTTATTAGACATTAGTTGCCACCCCTACCCCGCCCATTATCAGTAACTTTGCAATGATTAGGCTATATGCACACACAGATCTCTCTCTCTCTCTCTCTCTCTCTCTCTCTCTCTCTCTCTCTCTGTACTGGAGATTGAACCCAGGATCTCACACATGCTAGGCAAGCACTCTGCCACTGAGCTACATCCCCAGCCCTTATACGTCTCTGTATACCTTTGAGATTTTTTCCCCTCACATAGGTTTCTAGAAATGGAATTGTTGGTTCAAAGGATATACCAAACCTTAAAAATTTTTGATACATATTTCCATCTGCCAATTAGAAAGGTTGTAGCAATTTACATTCTTGCAGTGGTATATGAAGGTTTCAGTCTTCATCCTCTCCAAACCCCTTTTTGGAATGACTTAACCAGTACTACAAATCTAGTGAATATTTTCCTTTAGGAAGAAGAATGGCTTTTTAGTAGAGCCTGCTTAATAGGGGGATTTGGGAACTCAGAAAATTCATGTACCTGTAATAGTAATAGCAAGTATCTGTCAAGGCCCCCCACTTTTTTTTTGTGGTGGTGGTGCTGGGGATTGAACCCAGGGCCTTGTGCATGCCAGGCAAATACTCTACCAACTGAGCTATATCCCCACCCCCTGTTAAGTCTTTTTGCAGCATTTGCATTGAATTCATTGAATCTTCATAAAATCTCAGTTTTAC